GGACTGGGATACTGTCAGATCTGAGAGGAACTGCAGGGGTTCACAGTCAAGTGCTTGGTGTCCCAAAGTGCATCAAGGTGCAGCCGTGGCCTGGAGCACTGGCCTCAGCCAGCAGTGTTCCAGCCTGTTCTGTTCTGTGAAAAATCTCTTGGCAGCCTTAAACCAGCCACTACATCTATTCTGAGATCCTGTTTAAGGCCAGTAAACTGCAAAACAGGTGCTCTTATCTATGGATAATGTCCCCAGCTGGGGTGGCTGGGCTTCCTGCCAGCTGCCCTTGGAGGCTTCTCACCTGCACTGCCAGGGACTGCATGATAAGGGTTTGTATTGAGGCACTTTGCCTCTCCAAGCTTTCAATCACGTCCTCGGGTAGGGAGCAGAGCAATCTCTAAAGGCAATGTTTAATCTTCTCTTGTTTGTTTTCTTAAGATGAAACAATTTCTATTTTTGACATCTTTGTCAGCAGCTGTCCACTAAGGAGCTTGTCAGCCTGCCCCAAAGAGTGCAAACTCCTTTATCTTCCCAGTGCTTGTGATGAGAAATGAATTATAAGTTGAAAAAAGAGCCTTGGCAGTGCAAAGGAAAAGGGCCTTGACAGGTTTTGAAGTGTGTGAAATAAAAAATAGATTAGACAAGCCTGTACTTCCAGCTGCTTTTTGCATCCTTACCTCAACAAAATAATTACCACTTATTTAGGCAGAGTCACTGAAGTGAGGGAGGCTTTTGCAGAACTCAGTGCTCAGCATATTGCTACCTGGAGCATGCCAAGGTGCTTACCTGGGTTTTGTGGGCAGAAGCAGAGGTAAAATACAGGATGGAGGTGCAAGGAAGGTGTTGTCTGCTTTAGTAGGGAGAGAACAAGTGCTTTTCTGTTGGAGTAACTGTTCCTCCTTCCCTCTCAGGCACCAGTGGCCTCATTAGCTGTGGTGTTGCTCACGATCTCCATGTGTGGCTGGTGCTGCTGGAGCTCTCTCCTCCTGTCTGATCCCCACGGAGCCCCAGCTGACCGTGCTCACCAGCACCTTCAAGGGAGATGCTTCACACTGGTGACCTCTCGTTCCAGCAGGCTGCTGCTGAGAGGTGTGCTTAAATGTCTCACTGAGAGCTGTGGTGACACTGATCACCTGGTGGGAGGTTGGGCTGGGGAAGGGGTTGTGGTACCATCTGTGCAGCTGCAGCTCCAGCTTCCTGCTACGTGACACAGGTGCCATCCCAGGCTGGCCATCTGCAGCCTGCAGGAGAGGGAGGCTGGCAAACTGAGAACGGTGGAGAGAGGCTGGTGGCCGAGTCTTGGTACTGAGTGCTGCTCTAAGTACCTGAGATAACAGCCCTGCAGGGCAGGTGTCCCTATTCAGCATCGTAACTAAGCTGGTCCCTCTGGCTATCTGAATTAGCAGCTCATCCCTTAAATACCCTTTGAGAGCCCTGAGTGTTCTCATTCAGTGCAAGGAAAGGCTCATTTCGGTTGTGTCATCCTCTCTGCTTGGTGAACTCAGCTTTTATGAAAATTGCAGATTTGGGGCCTCCGGGTCTGCTCCTTGAGCATGCACCTCATCTGTAGGGGGCCCAGGAGCACTTCCCAGCTCTGGAGCTGGGAGCACTGAGCTGCCCAGAGCCCCTCACCCATCCGTGTGATCAGGAGCTGGCAGGGAGTGGCTGGGTGTGCTGGGATCGTTTCTGCCGAGTTAGAGCCCATCAAAGTTCATCCAAGAAGCAGTGATAGGACTTAATAATTTGCATTTCCGCATATTTATTCGCAACTAGTTCTCCATGGGGAGCTTTCCGTGTGTGGCAAAGCAATCAAGTGCATATAGAGGAATAAACATGTATGTCACAGCTGCTCGGCTGAACCAGTGTGTTTCCTGCTTTATCTCCAGATCCTGGAGCTGCCAACTGGCAGGTGGCACCGCCAGGGATTGGCAAAGAATTCCTCTGTAAGGGGCTGAATGTCTCATCCCTGTCCTGCTGGGTAGCAGAGCTCAGACTGAAAGCACAGCTTTGAGCAGGGCTGGAAAGAGGCTGGGGCTGAGCCAGGGGCTCTGCAGGGAAGAGCTGTGTCAGGGGGACACTACACACTGAGGGTCTCACCTCATTTTAGGGGGGGTGCTGCTGTTATGGAAAAGCTGTGAAGATGCCTCAATGCAGAGCCCCTAAGGGGACAGTGCTCAGAGCCAAACACCAAATGTTCAGCAGCACTGCTCCCTCTTTGTAGATCTGCACTGGCGCCCCAGGCAGCTCCAAGCCTTCATTTAAATGCTTTGTGCCCGAGTTTTCTTCTTGGCACAGAGCAGAGTGCTGCTCTGCTTAGTCTGTAAGAGTTTAAGCAGATCTTGCTGACATTTGAAATACTTTTCATTTTTGCTGAAAGGTATTTTGGAAGGAAAAGAAAAAAATGAATACCATCTCTTCCATAGCAGGGAAGGAAACGAAGGGCTGAGCCTGGAGGGTGGTGGTAAATGGAGTTGCAGCCAGCTGGGACTGGTCACTAGTGGGGTTCCCCAGGGCTCAGTATTGGGGCCAGTTCTGTTTAATGTCTTTATTGATTATGATGAGGGGCTCGTGGGCATCCTCAGCTGAATTCACAGATGACACCGAGTTGGGTGGGAATGTTGATCTGCTGGAGGGTAGGAAGGCTCTGCAGAAGGGTTTGGACAGGCTGGATTTGACCCAGCAGGACACAAGGACAATCATGTGAGGTCCAACAGGGCCACGTGCCATGTTCTGCACCTGGGCCCAAACAGGATTCCAGGCTTGGGAATAGAGCAGCTGGAAAGCTGCTGAGTGGAGAAGGCCAGTGGCATCCTGGCTTGTGTATGCCATAGTGTGGCCAGCAGGACTGGGCTGTCAAGCACTGAACAGGATGCCCAGGGCAGTGGTTGAGTCACCATCCCTGGAATGATGTAAAAGAGTGCAGCTGTGGCACTCAGGGACATGGTTTAGTAGTGGGCTTGGCAGTGCTGGGTTAATGTTTGGACTCAGTGACCCCAAAGATCTCTTCCAGCTGAAACTATTTTATGATTCTTTAAGATACTACACTGAGAAGGGAAAAATGAGTTGTGAGAAGAGAGCAGGTGGTGACCTTTGTGCAGGCCAACATGAAGGTTATGAGGTCCTGCACCTGGGACTGGAGTGCAGATAGGACTGGGTCCAGCATTTGCAGTGTCAGATTGTGATGCTCAGCACAGTGTCTAATCCCACCTTCCTTCCTCAGGGAACTGGTTTTATCTGGGGCTTTTGGTGGTTGATCAGAGACACCAATACCTTCCAGTGTCCTCACACTCTTGGTCCAAAGAGAATAGATCACTTGAAAAATATCACCAATTTCCTTCTTGCAATGTCTTGTAAAATTAGTAAAGAGCATGAAAGGTGTATCTATTGCATGTGAACTGGGGTTGTTTTCATGTATGAGAGTTACTTGTATGTGTTGCTCTGAGATTCACAGAGACAATCAAGAGAGGAAGGCAAAGTTGCCATTGTTAATTGAGAAGCCTGAGGATTTTTATATTTTTATATAAAATATATTTATATTTTATATTTTTTTTAATATGTCTCATTTCTTTAATTTTTAACTCTTTAAAAAACTCATCCACTCTGAATTCCTGTGGGGACAGATAATTGAGAGGACTTGACTTATCAGCTAAATCTCATCCGTTTATCTCTACCAGCCCCTTGCAATATGAAGGATGGCAGCCTACCACAAATGAACACCCATGCTTCTCTTTCCTTAAAGGAATGAACCACACTCCCCAATGTGAATGGTGCCTGATCCTGTCCCTCAGGCACTGCATGAGGGCTCTGGTCCGTATTCCACGATCTGAAAACAACCCAGATACTCAGACTCTGAAGTGCTTCACGCTCATTCCAAGAGAACTCTTTATTATGTTTACATAGAGCATGAGCAATGTGGAAAACACTGGAAATTCTGCATCAGTGGCTTGGCTTTTGGACAGCATTGGAGATGGTGATGCAGCTGCTCACGTCGTGTCTGTATTACGAGGTGTGCAATGTGCCACGAGGAGCCAAAGCTTTGCACTTCTGATTGGGAAGCTCCCACCTCTGGCACATTCACTGCTTGCTCCTCTAGTGCCACAGTTAGGTGCTGAGCTGTCAGCTTTTCCTCAATTTCACTTGGAACTTGCAATTGTAGTACCTTGGAACTGGTAATTTTAGTACAAAAGCAGAGTTTCTGAAACCAATCCTACTAATCCACAAGACCGTTCCCCTTCCCTCTCCTCCCCCCTCCTCCCAATCCCATCCCAACTCATCCCATCCCCCATGCTCCCACCAACACATACCTCCTTCCCCTCCCTCTCACCCCGGTCACACAGCAAATATCCTGATGCTGCAGTTCCAAGCCATGTGTCCGCCCCAGCCTATGTGATCCAATGGTCTCTGACCAGGTCCCTTTGTTCAGACGTTCATACAAAACACACAATAGGAAAAAAACAAAACAAAAGGAGCCAGACACAAGAGGGAGACACACTGCCGGGCTCCAGCTCTGGCCTCTGAGCCCTTCCACTAAGCTCCACAGCACTAGGCTCTTGGGGTACCTCCTTTCACACTCAAGGCTGCAGGTCCCAAGGTTTCCAAAGTGCATAGGAAAAGGAAGAAAGGAAGTAAACTACAAGCCTGTTTCTGTTTTAGGCTCCCCCCAACCCCTTTCCCTCAACCCAATGGCTGCTGGAGGATATTCTTGACTCCGACAGGTCTTTTCCCGTCTTCCAGTGAGACCCTGCCTGGGGACCAGGTTCACTGTAAGTCACTGGTTCCTCTCCGGAACGTGGGCAATGGGTTTGGCAGCGAGGGGAGGGAGCGGAGCACGCTGCGGGGGGGACGACAGCCTTTTGTGTCACAGCACGTGGGGAGGGGAAGATGTCAGGGAAGGCGAGAGAAAAGAGCCGAGGGAAGCCGGTCAAGCTGGCCCCTGTGCTTGATGTTTGTTGTACTCCAGACCTCTCCTTGGGGCTGCTGCAGTGTGCCAGCGCCGGCCCGTGGCTCAGTCACCTCTCGCAGCCCTGCTGGGAACGAGCACGTGGCGGGGCGGCCTCATCCTCTGGCTGGCTGCCCTCGTGCCCGCCGGCCAGCTCAGCGTCGCAGTCAAGCGCCTCATAGATGGTCGGCAGCGTGGTCTGCTGGCTGAGGCGCTTGCGCAGCCCCACCAGCAGCGGCTGCGGCATGGACGAGACGTCCACGTTGTTGCCGAGGTCGACCCAGGCCAGGCAAGGGAACTTGTTCATGTCCTTCATGGTGTCAGTGAGCTCCTTCATGGTGGCCCGCGTCAGGCGGTTGCCGTTGAGGGACAGGTGGGTGAGCTTGGGCAGCGCCCAGAGGAAGGGCAGCAGCAGGCGCATCATGTCGTCGTTGAGCTCCGTGAAGCTCAGGTCCACCGAGGTGAGGTGCTCCCCGTTGTTCTGCAGGTAGTAGGCCATGCGGTGGACATCCCGCATGGTCAGGGGGATCCCTGACAGATCCATGGAGTCCTGGCTCACCTTCTTCTGCAGGCTGGTCTTCAGGCTGATGGTGGAGAAGGGGAGACAGGGAGATCGTTAAGGGGAGCGCTCCCATCCACCTCGCCCAAGTGAGAGAGCACTTGGGGCGGGGAGAACTCATTAACAACATGGGCTACAATGTTATGGGAAGGGTTAATAGAGCTCACGGGGGAAACAAGCATTTGCACCATACCTCAGGGCAGACTGGCCGGGAGCTTTGCTGTGTTCTCTCAGCACTTACACATAAACTTTGCCAGAACTGGCTCGACACAGGTTGTTAAAGCATCTCCCACTAGCAGATGTGAGAGGGTTTGTCTGTATGTGCCCATAGAGGCGCTCATGCACAGAAAGCAAAAATAACCAAGGCAAGCAAACTTTCCAAGAGCGCTGCTTTACACTGTGTGGGGCTGTTTGTGAGCCGCCTCTCCAGGTGAATGCCAAGGTCTGTGCCACAGAGCAGAGCAGTGTCAAAGGTCTGAGAAATGGATGTTTCGTCAGGAAAACAATAGCTAGGCAAACTGCACTCCAGGAATGGATTTACTGCGTGTACCTTTAAAAGCCTTCACAAGCAGCACTTAGTCAGTAAGCAGCACCAGCGGCTGCCTATTTGGGTCTCTGTGGTCAGCAGATCATCTGGGATGTGCTGCAGCGAGGAGGAGGCGGAGAGGGCATAAGGGTGCTAAGAGATGGCTTCAGCCATTTCTTTTGTCTGCCTGGCCACGGGAGTGAGGAGGAGGTAGGAAAGCTGTGTTGTGAGGTTGCTGGGTATGCAAAGGGAGTGGGCTGTGGAGCTTAATGACGGACTGTGGGTTTGTAAGAATGCTGTGAGAAGTGGGGACTGTGGGGTTACAGGAGCTGCTGGGGCATATGTTGCAAAATTGAGTAGAAACGTGTGTTGGTGTAACACAGGAGAACCCAGTCCCTCAGTGTAAATTGTATTAATCTTGCTGCTCTTTCAGACACATCTTGCCTTAAGGACATGGGAGCCCTAGTAGGAACCCCCAGCCATGTGCTCAGGGGGTCCTGTAAGTGCCTTATTGAGCTTGGGAGGATCAGGGTGGGTTAAGCATTAACCACCACTTTGAAGGTCCCCACTCTTCCTATCTGGCTCTCTGTAGTGTCCTGCACACCTGTGGCACAGCCAGTGTGAAAGCAATGGGTACATGGGGACATGCAATTCCCTCGGAGGAGGCTGCAGCACCGCAGGAGCTCCCGTGGCAGGTGAGAATGTCCCTACAAGCCTCAGCATTGCCAGGCTCTGCTGGAGCTGTGCAGAGGATGTGGCACTGCCTCTGTAGCTTTGCTTTACATATGCAGTTCATGGCATCCTAGAAATTTCAGCCCTTAATAATCCCCTATAAGCACGTGTTGACTCAAGGGAGTTAATGTGCACTGGTGCAGGCAACAGCCCTGTGTGGACACATTCAACACTGGCACAAACCTGTGCTGCATTTCTTGTAGGAGCATGAGGCAGAAAGACTTCGTAGCCTGCCCTGTCAATTCTTAAGCCCACAATTTCCTGCTCTGGGTTTAGCAGTACTTTGCTCAGGCTACTTCTGTGTGTCCTTGTAGTTCCCATGGGAATTCACTGTGCAAGGCTGAAACTGTATCTGCAAGCATGCATTTGGACTAATGACCTCTCATGGCAGACAGCTAATAACAGCATAAATTAACTTCTATTCAGACCTAAAGTATTGTAAGTAAAATGTATTACTAAATATTTACAGTCAGGTGACCCACACTGCACCTCAGTGGATCACAGGAGGGGCAAGGGGAGCAGTGCTTGTCTGTACTGTCAAACGGCAGGGACTGATGTGCTGGGGAATTATAATTGGTCTGAGCACAGGAGGGAGGTCACCAAAGAGCCTTGAAGATGGTACCTGATATCCCTCCACTATCTGGGCCCCAGAGATGGGACTGGGAAGAATTAATCCACCACTGTTTGTAGCAGCAGTGCAGTTCTTTTACCTGCTGCTGCAGCAGCTGTGAACTGTGCATGCTGTGGTCTGGGTGGCACTGAGCAAGTCTCCCTTCTCCTGCTAATCCAAAGGATGCTTGAGATTAGCCCAGGCTGTCTGGGAGTTCTGTTTCTTCAACTCTCTTGAAAAGCCACGTGTTTGTTTTGGTATCGTTTGTCCCCAATCACTGGCAGTGGTGTAGCACAGTCTACCACAAAAGAGGGCTCATCTTGTATGAAATTTATCAGGGACCAGCCTCAAAGCTGGAAACGTCTGCAGTTTCCCCCAGCACAACAAAAGTTATCCTTTTAGCCATGCTAGGTATTGTATCTGGGTGTTTGATCTGGAGTACTCGCTCCAGCAGAACAGAGCATCCAATGCACAGTGCAGGTGTGCATTCATATGGGTCAGGTGAAACAGGGAGCAGTGAAATGGAGCGTGAACCTGAGTGCACAGGGTAACTGTGCCCTGCATGCACAAGGAGCTGCTACAAGAGACACAGCAGCCTTCTCTGGCCTCTGGGGGTTTAGAATCAGGCTTTCTTGGGAGTGTGGGGATTACAGGATAAACAAGCACAGAAACAAGCCTGTAACTACTTCAGTGCCTGTTTTGTATGAATGCAGCCTGTGGCTCTTGGAAATTCTCTTCCCCAGCGCTGTCAAGCTCTGGCAGATCCTGGGTTGGGTGGGGGGCACAGAAAGGAGACATGAGCCACCTTCCCCTGCCCTAAGCCTAGTCTCCATCTATGCCAAACCTTCCTTTTTATAAAGCTGCAGGGCAGGAGCCTGGTTTGGAGTGGGGCTGGGAGCCAGGCTGGAGTGGGGACCACTGGAGGGCACGTCTGAGCCGGCTCTGCTCCCGCTGCCTGCCTGCCCTCAGCATTCAGGTGCTGGTTTTGCTGTCTGCAGCAGCAGCTTTCTTAACAGGGGGCAAGTTTGAAAGGCTCTTGGGGTCCCCATTGGAGCCACTTGGCTCTGAGTGCAGACAGTGATGACTGAAGGGAAATGTCTGGAAGACAAAAGCAATGTGCTCGTCTGTCTCTGCCCGTTTACCTCCCCTCCTGTGCCTGTGTGGAGACTGCAGTAATAAGTCACAGACCGTGCTCTCACCAGAGCAGATACCTTCTGCTGCTCTCCCCAGCAACGAGCCAATACCCCAAGGAGGCTTTAATCAAGCAGACAAATTATCTTCCCATAATTGATTCTCCAGACTGGACTGCTCCTGGCTGAATGTGCTTAAACCCTCCTGTCCTGTGCCAGAGCCCTCCCTCCCTTCTTTGCTGGCTTGTTTTTCTTTCCTTTCCTGTGTTTTTTGCTGCTTCCTTTTGCCCTCATTGCTGTACCTGCCAGGGTGACTGGGCCTCCTGTCTCAGGACTGGGGGCTCCCTCCTTTAAGCTGTTCTCTTGCCTATAAAAATGCCTCTTGTAGGGCTGTGTCTGTAGGAGCCTCATCCTGGTGGACACAGCCCTGTGCTGCAGCCAGGCCCTCAGCTCTCTGGTAAGTGCTGAAGCATGAGATACAACACCCCACGCATGCTGTGAGCCCTGGCAGCCTCCTCCTCACCTCCCTGGTGTTTCTGTGCAGCTCCAAGAGGCACAGCTAAATCCCATCTCTAGGGCAAGGCACAGAATAGCTGCCCACTCTCTCTGCTGCTTTAGAGGTAAATGTGTCTGCAGTCAGAAATGGGTCAAGCAGATGTGGGTAGATGCTTTACTCTGAATTATCTGACATTTGGTATTTCTTTTTTTTTTTTTTTTTTTTTTTGGAGCTCTGAGAGGGGCATGATACACAGGGTACCAAGCTCTCACTCACTTTTGCAGCAGCTGAGAAAATACTGGGTTTATTTCCAGGGAAATAGGTCATCTATTATCCCCTAATTTCTACACTTGAAACAGGCTTTAAGATTGCTTCAGCTGCAGAAGGCTTCTTTTCCTTTGTGTGAGGTACAACAGCTACTTAGCAGTGTGGCTCTTGATGCCCTGGGACTGTGGCCAGAGGCTGCAGAGCACTGGGGGCTGCATTAACCTGCTCCTTCTGCAACTGGTTCAGGGCACATTGGTAATGGTGAGGATTTGCATCTAACGAGGATCTGGAGCCTGGAGGCAGGGCAGCAGCCTGTGTTTGTATTACCTGCAGCAAGCCTGGAGAGGAAACAACCCTCCACTCCCTCAGATGCTGGAGAAATGGCTGCAAGTGAGAAATTCTTGGAAACTTTGAGCAAGAAACAAGGGCAATCAGCAGCCCATCCCCTACTGCCTGCCTGGGGATGCAGCATCCAGTGAGGAATGGTGCTGGCCCCCAGTCCTGTTTATAAGGGATCAGCACCCTGTTTGCAACCCTTGTCCAGCCCTGCTGAGGGATGGGAGCTCTTTGAGGTGCATCTCCTTGTTTCTCATGTGAAAGGTTTTACTTTGCATTGTTCCCAGCTCCCTTCCTGGGGTCTGGCCTTTCTCCCATGACAAGGAGGCAGTCTTCCTTCCACCCTCACTGCCACTTTCCCTTCCCTGGGTGCCAGTTCTACTCTTCAGCAGGCACCAGCAGCAGTCCCTAGGCTCCACTTTGAGCCTGGCTATGGAGATCCACCCTGGGTCAGTCCAGACAGAGCAGGGGCCTGAGAGGCCTGTGGGTGTCTGGGGAAAAAAAAACAACCCCTCTCAGTGAGAAATGTGGGCTGGGAAAGAGGTGAAACCATCTTGTGCCTCCCCAGGCTTTATTTTGGGATAAAAATCTTCCACTAACACTCGGCCACTGTTCCAGCCTCCTGGGAACTCAGCTAGCATAAGCAAATACAGAGCTGTCTTGAAATGGGACAATTAGGAGACTTGAAATTAATTGCTAGTTGTTTGTCTCCAGGACCTGTCCCAAGAGAACTAACCCTTAGGCCATCTTCCAGGTCCTTCTTCAAGTCCATGAAGCTGCAGACTCAGCACATTTTGTTTTTTATTAGCACAGAATCCCATCAATTTCTTGCTCATCTTGCTCAGCTAAACTCTTTGGTGGCTCCAGGGAAGGGGTGTAATGGCTCCTGAGTGTTGCCCTGTTGGGACTTGTGGCAGTCACAGTGGTG